ACAACTCAATGGATCATTGAGGCACCAAGTTAAGGTCCAACCGCATTGCCATGGGTTAAATTGTATGCTAACAAGTAAAGGATGTGGATTCGCTTCTGAAGTAGACAAATGCCACGCTTTGTCCGCGCCCAACACTACCTTCCACGACCACTGTACTCTTTGGTTGGTCTCTCCAGGTGGAGATAGTCAGAGCTGGGAAGTGGTGATAGCCAGCGGACATCCCCACCAAATGGAGATTAGGTGCCTCAATCTAGGCATGCACCGGCTACTCCAATAGGCCTAACAACTAGTTGCGGCCCCTTAAATAACAGTTAGTCCCACGCAGAAGAATAGGATACCAGGAGTCAGTGATGGAAACTTAAACAGAAGAAGGCTTCTTAATAACGGTACTCACTGTCCAAAGAATGCACGGTTACATGCCATACTGAGTCCTCGACTACATACCACTTCCATCATATGCAACCATCGACCGAAAACGAATCGTTTGCGATGGTATAGCGGGACACAGAGTGCGTAGATCATGTTAGCATGAAACAACAAGGATGCATGTAGTGAACAACATGACACCCGATTGAGCGAGAACATTACCCAGTTTGGGGTTGTAACTGCGTCAAATGTGAACAAATCACAGCCGCTGTCGGCTAACCAAGATGAGTGTGCTCATCAGCGAAGACCCACCGAAAGACTGGGAACCAACGGCTAGAAAAGTGTTCATGAAACACATTCAAACGATAGAATAGTGTACAGAAATCGGTGCAGCCATCTAGATAATACCAGAAAAGTACTGTACATATATGACAAGAGTACGGTTTCCTGCACATGTAGAACTGCTATAAACTTCGTCCAAAGGACCCGGTTATGGTCAACAGAACGAGTCCGGAAGGCGGACCTACGCGTCGGTTGAGTCGCGTAGATGTGGTAGAAGAGCTTACACCGACTGTCTGCGTGAGCACAATCCAGTCTTCAGTTTTGTTCATTTCAGTCGTGTTCATAATGCCGATGCTGACAACCGGTATACCTCCGCATTTAGTCAAGGTTTGGAGAAATTTTATGATACCGCTCTGTCCCTAAACCCATTGACACCACCGATCGTGCTGCCAGATAGCACAACGCCGTTCACATTTCCGGAAATGCTAACCGCGGAATTAGGCAAACTGATACAGGTAGCTGTGGCCGGTAAGATCGGCGGGACGACATACATAGTTACGTGGCGATCATCAACAAGAAGACGTGTAGTTATAAAAATTTGTAGAGAGCATAATGCAGTGTCGACTATGGATAAAGTGAAATATTTCACCAAGGTAGATTCCGCACTCCGGCACATATTTCCAGATGAAGGATCGAGTTTAATGACGGTATTCGTAACACACCAAGGATGATCGCGTTAACTGTGTTCACCGTCTGGCCTAAAGATTCCGAGTGAAAGTTTGCCGTAAAGATTGATGCAAGTGTAACGTGTGCCGCAGACGATGCAGCCAAACCGAAGAAAAGGATGTGGATCCTCGCCACTTCGTGGTCAGAACTTAAAGCACAGGTGTGAAGAGGTCGAACAGTGGGAAAGTGGAGTAATTTTGCAAAGGGGACATTCTGAGTTCAAAAAGCAAGGTATAGCTGGGAAAAGAAAGGCTGTACATGAGATGCATCCCACTTAAACACACAAAAGTAGCTCCCTTCAGAAATTTGAAAAGCACGGTAAGAAGACGAAAACTGGTAAATGCATGCATTTCTTATTGTCTCCTCAGTACCATTAACAATAACCGGTATGCAACTATATACTTAAATATGCGTGTGACCGAATAAGCATGAGGTGTAAAATGAATGACGGCCCTATGTGCTCAAAAGCAATTATTTATCAGCTCAAGACTGCCGTGGACATAGGGGTGGAACTTCCGTCATTCATTTTACACCTCATGCTTATTCGGTCACACGCATATTTAAGTATATAGTTGCATACCGGTTATTGTTAATGGTACTGAGGAGACAATACGAAATACATGCATCTACCAGTTTTCGTCTTCTTACCGTGCTTTTCAAAAGTAGCTCCGTTTGGAATTGGGCCGTTTTCTCCAAGAGCTGCCGATATCATGATCCCCACCAAGGGCTAACTAACAAAAGGTGGAGTGGAGCTGGTGGAGAGGGCAAGAGAAGGTAATTGTGATCACTACACTGCACAGTATCTGTAATGATTACTCAGATAGCACGAGGCCGTGTAACCACCGGGTGTGCAGTGTGACAACAACCGGAGAGGAATAGGTGCAGTCACAGTTGTAACAGAGATGGAAGTTAGGTGGAGAAATATCGCCAGCAGCATTGGATGTGGTGCAACTACAGACAGAAAATACCTGTGAAGGCAATTTGGTCATTCACTTAGACTGGCTTGCGTTCAATGAGTAAATGGTTTGCACCCGAAGAACCATGCTTGTCTTGTAAGTATTATAGGCTCCTATGCCTGTTGGGGATAATGAAATATATATATATATATATATATTGCAACAGTCTATGAATAAACATTGAGCCATCGGAAATCATGGAACTCAAAACAAGGTACAGAAATAGTAAAGGAAAACACAAAACATCAAAGTCCATGGTTTCGTCAGAGGGCGAGATACTACCCGGTTGCCCAAGCCGAAGTAGGGTGTTGACTTAGGTGACACCACCCCAAGCCTTTGACTGAATAGCCTGCCCGCAAGGCAGCGGAGCGAATTCAGGGAATCGCGCCCACTGGGAGCCGGTGACTGATTTCTCAGTTCATACGCCTTTCGCTTGTTCCTTTGTCAAACAGGGGCCCAATGCTCCCCAAAATTACAGCATAAACTTGCTGGAATACAATGCTTCGCCAAGATGAAGCAAGGGACAGTGACTTTATTTAGTGACGAGTCACATCCGCCACGTCACAGTGTTGTTAAACGGACATATGTGGCTTTTTATAAGGAGAACGCTTGCCAGGCGAAAACCTACCACGTCCTGGAACACTGCCGCCGAACTATTTGCTGGAACGGGAAAATCACGAACCACCCAGCTGGCACCACGAGGAGGAGGAAAACATACGAAAAAGACAAAGTTAAGACTAGGAGTGGGTGTCTAACCATGGATCCCATTCACAAGTCGGTGATGACCAGGATAAGAGTGAGATCAGAGTCGGTCGAGGATAAACAACACATCTTCGAAAGACCGAGGAGCAAGACCCAACGAGTAACATGGCATTGGCCTTGGAACAATGGAAGTCAAGTCAGTAGACTGGTGGACTTTCGTTCCAGACCGACCTGCTCTATTGAGAAACGTTCAAGGAAACATGAGAAAGCTTAACTGAAATTAAATTGCCCCAGACAATTGGCGGCTTGCAAAGTTACAGGTCCGAGCTACGGTGTGAAAGGCACGAGCTGCATGATTTCAATTAGTTTATTTATGCAAGTTCTACACCGTGTCGGCTTAGCATCAGTACGCCTGTGTGGCATAGTAACGTATCAACTCCAAACATGTAGCACACAGTGGGGATGGTAAAATTTCAGCATAAGAAACAGGGGCCGAGAATTACCTTCTTGATGAATGGTACAAGGCTACGCGCAAAATAGATTAATAGGGCTTTGCCGCTGTCCGGCTATATGCCGATCGTTAAGGGGAAACTTATTGAACATACATTTTTTAGAAAACAGTTTTAGTTACTGAACTGTTTCCTACCGCTATCGCTATAACTGACAGTTGTTTAAACACATCAGTATGCGAATTTCATTAGCTGCTTGTGGTCATTGTTTCTGTCCTCGGATCGCAGTTCAACCTGGTTGCTAATGCTCTCTCTTTTCGATCGTTGCGTGCCCCTTATTGGCTCCTTTATTGATCAGCCTTCATTCTGCTTGTATGTTTACAGCAACATGGTTGACTTGAAAATCTTTTAGTAGATTCCAAGCAGCCCATTCTTAAAACTATTTAAGCAGACATGATTTAATGCATACAATTCTTTCCCGACACGTCTTTGGAGTTCTCTTCTTACGGCCGTGGAGCGCGCCGCGATACAATCCAGTGCGCAGTCACCTTGTGATAGTCTGTTAAGGCAAAGCAGTAGATAACATAATGCAACCCACACACATCTCGGAGCCTTTATTTGAAGAACAATAGCATGGCACTCGCATGTGCACGGATCATTAATGTGGAGCAGTGGAAAATGAAAACACACGAGGAGTGAAGCTCAGAGGTTAGTCAGGAGTAAACCCAGAGACGCGTGGCTTGATTGTCAGATCGGCATAGTAAAACTATTCGGGTGGATCACGAAAAACAGAGATAAACATTGAACGAAATCATAGAAACAACGAAAATAGGGACCGATTGCTCCCTGAGGGGAAACTGATTATAGGTTCGTCACAGGCACCTCAAGTGAGTGAAAATGCACGAAAATAGCTGCGTGTTAAAGGTGTCAAGAGATGTATGAACGTGAAGATGTTTTAGCAGGCCGGAAAGCTATACCAGCGTACAATCGAGAGGATAGGCATCACCTCGATGATTGAATCTAACAAACTGCAAATTGTTTCTGCTGGAAGCGGAGCAAGCAATATTGGTGGCCCAAACACGGAGCGGGCCACAATTCAGCCGTCACATGCCTCATAAGTTACCATAATTCAGTGACTGGCAGTTATGAAACGCGTGCGAGTCAAATGCCAACACAATACGAATATGTCCTCGTGGTGTGGGATGTATCAACAGTCTCTGAGGATAAGCATGAGCCTTGAGTACCGAAGCAAGGATTCATCAATTGATGAGTGGGATGTGTTGAGGGAGCATATATCGGCTACGAACCAATCACAATCCCCATAAGCAGAGCCCCTGACTCTAGTCCATCGGGCTTACACGGGATATAAAGCGTATGGATGATGCAGCGTAAGTCACCCAAGTTTTTTTAGCGCGCACAGTGATTGTTTGCGGTCACAGCGGCAATTGAATCCGCAAATGGGTGTTTTCAGTCAATACTAACGTCCTCTAGACAAGTGTCACGTGGGAATGATTCGCGGCTGAAGCATTTATTGGCTACAAAACAAGCCTGGAAGCCAAAATACTACGAAATTCGCAGAGGCCACAAGGGACAAGAGTTAATGGATGCACTGGCTGATTAAATAGGCGGGCTGCACGTTTCAAGTTGTTTACGAGAGAGAGAGTAGCTTGTGAGCCGTAAATGTAAAGCATGTATATAAGTCGAGAGAATCGCTGCACCCCATGCGTTACAACAAGCGCGACTGGTATATGGGCAGGCGAAAGACCACTTGCGAGGTGGGTGCCAGGATTCGTCAAGAGAGCGTGTGTGATATATCCAACGAGCAAGTCCAACGGTGGTCACGTGGAAGAGGATCAGACATATTTATCAAAATGTGTAATAAGTGAGTTACACCCGTGAATAAATAACATAAGAAAGGGAAGGAAAAAGCACTTTGGAATCGGTGGCAAATGGATGAGGAAAACAAATGATGAAAGCTCTGGTGATTGACCAATGTCTGTAGCAAAATGGGAAATATCATATTTGAAGAAAGTTGCCAGAATCCACCCGATAGAAGTCCACAAATAGCGATCCCTTCATGCGCATAAAACGCTCCTCTTTTGTGTCCCGACCGAACAGTGCGATCTCGTGCTGTGCGGCCACGGAGAGTTCGTCCTCCTTGAAACAGTGACGTCCGAGAAAAACGTCGAATCCAATGGAGCGCTTGTCCATCACCTGCAGGGGCACCAGTTAAACATGAAAAACAATGTCATCAGAGAGTCCAAAGCAAAAGGAAACAAACGAAGGTGAGCTGGTGACAGATTAGGGTGGTGTACGGGTCACGTCCATTTAAGCGGACAGGGAAAATCGTGCAAAACACCAACGACTATGCAGTTATCTGCACCATAGTCACCTGCCCACACTAGTGATACGGATAATCACATCACTGACGTGATGTAACCCGCGTCACACTTGGCACCGACCTCAGCCACATTCGAATGAGCCCCACCATCCTCAAGCTCATCTTCTCGTCACTTCACGTAAGTGACAAGCTACATTCATATCCTTTCCGTGTGTCAGAACGTAGGACCATAAACATCACCATTTTCCGTATCCTAGCATGTCCGACCCTGAGTATATTCTCTAAAAGACTGCCGTCAAATTTGATACCAGTTAGCCTGTTGAACCCCCCACAACCGCAGGGAAGGGAAAGTCTGCAAAGTCCAAATCATACGTGTAAGGTGTCGACAAGTATAGCTTACTCATTTACAAAAGCGTTGTGGCACGTCACCGCAAAAGCTATGGAAAAACGTTGGAAAGCCCCCTGTGCTCACTGCTACAGTTTTTTCCAACCTGCTCCTCCACCTATAGACTACTGTCGATCTCTTCCATATCCCACGGTTGTATAGCTCTTCACATGAATCACTAATGACGAGAAAACGTCTTACAACTGCATAGTAGATAAAGAAATAAACATAGCATGAGAAGAAAGGAGACTTGACGCAGCAACTGAGGAGTATTGATGAAGTGCGCTGTATCCGGGATGGTGGACTTGTACCCATGATTGAATTCGAGACGGTAAAGCATGGTTCACCCCCGCAGCCGTGCACGTTACCAACACGCAAAGGGCTAGCTTGATCGCCCAGAGCAGCGACTCTTCTCGTTAAAACATCAAGTATCTAACGTAGTAATCCAGCTCGGTGTTATGATTCGATCATAGCAGTTTACGGCGCGCAGCCAAGAGGTAAGAAGGAGACATGCATACGAAGGACAGCATACTCAACGATCGACGCAACACATGGGACAAAGAGGGAAGGTAGGTGTGCGTGTATGCGTTCGTGCGTGTATACGACCAATAGACGATAAACGAGCAATTTGTGTGAAAGTAAACGTTCCCGATGAGGAACCAAACGAGAACAACTGTTTACTTACAGTGTACCATTTTGGTTTATTCCCGAGAACAGGATAAGCGTTAGTCAACGAGCGCAAGGAGAACACGTGGTGCTCGTGTGATCATTTGATTCGAGGAGACTGCAGTAGCTACGCACGTAAGCGCCCCACGGGCGCCTCTAGTTGCTTCTAACCATGTATCGAAATCAACCCGCTTAGCCATCGTCATAGAAACAATGGAAAAGTGGTTTAATTCGGGTGAGAACGCTAGAGCATGGCAAGCCCTGTGTGTTGGTCTAGGTAAAGTTCAAAGAAGAACGTTGCTTACAAGGTAGATCGCGCATCTGTGGATCCACTACAGTATTCACACAAACACAAATGTAGATCTTCCAAAGTCGATTTCACGGGGACGAGGAGCTAATGAGAACAATTTGTTTGTATTTTGTTGTCGCCGGATGAACGCGGGTCGTATCACACAATGCGAATGGTGTCATGCATCACCGAGTCGATTTTTAAAGTGAAGAACGTGAAAGCAGATATGGCATAAATAGGGAGAGCACTTTACATCCAACAAACTAGGAAGGAGAAAAAGCCCGGTGACATTTTAACCAGCTGTATTGCGCAAGTGGAGTCAACTAGTGGCCGAAGGTGGCGGAAAGTGTAATGACGATGTCACCCTGTAGATGACGATGCTTTCCACGGCAAATTCGCAGGGCTTTCAGTCAGAAAACAAACGGCAAGAAAATGTATACTAGATAGCGTCTTGATGAATGGTAAGTTCCGCAGGAACATACTATGCTTCCCATTGGAGAGCCACGTAAGCAACTGTAACAGGTCGACGAAACGCAACATCATCAGCTCAGAAGAACCATCATAAATGATCAAAAAGGCTGAGCACAGCGTCGCGACTGATAGCAAACAGCTCATTTTCGTAGTCGTGGGCATTCGGCTTGTTCAACGCAATCCCGATGTGAAATGCGAGTGAAAGGAGCAGAACACACTTCGTCTTGAAGTCACATATCGCTTGCGTCGCTTCCCAACATGGTCCTGCTGCAACGAGATATAGGCCGTATCTTGCAATGGTCTAAGAAGAATCTACTCCCGTTCAGCGCCAATCAACATATAGGTAGGGAGACCGCATCATAGGAACGCGATGTTGGGGTAGTGATTCAAGATGACATCGGCTGTCCGGAGCAATCCGTGAAGGTGTTCAAAACCGGAAGTCAACATGTCGGTCTTTTGCGGAGGGCGTTCAGGCGGTTCGATCTAGCAATCTTCCAGCAAATGCTCAATGCGTATGTAAGACCCCAGAAAGATTGAGTCAATCAGACCTGAGAACCCTAGCTAAAATGCGATCTGGCTGCAGTGGATCAGGCGTGGAACATTCTTCCGGCTTATGTTATTCATATTCAAAAATGAACTCGACGATGCATTACACCATATGCATAACGTGACGTGACACTCGTTCATCGAATGATGGTAAAACATAAACGAACACTGTACTCACTAGCCCCCGCGAAATCGGGGTAGACGGAGTTGTATGCGTGAATATTGTGACAACTACACAGATGGGAGGTTTACTTTGCTGGCAAAAACTTTACCTTGCGAAACTAAGTGTTTCACACGGCATTGTCAAGTCTCAGCTCATTGACCCGTAGCATATCATTGCTTCATTGTAATTTCGGAGCTGAGAAACATCGTACTCAGTTCGTCCAGTGCAGAAGAATCCCGTCAAAATAGCTGTTGTGGTGTTCGCCGAGCTGGGCAACTTGACTGCAAACGTTTCGCCACTATTTGAGGTGGCACCGTCAATGCAGGACTGAAAGTAGTCAGGTAGCAGGAACTGGTAGAAGGCAAACCCAAGATAATGCACGCCTACCGAACTCCAAATGCAAAACGAAAACAGCTCGACACAGCCTTGAGCAAAAGGGGTGCTAGGAGTGGATAGGGTGAATGAGGCGCATCCGGAAGCGGTTTTTCTGTGTGCAACCATTAAAGATGAGCACTTCGATTACAAACCTGCCCAAGCAAGTCTTTGATTGCGAACGCTATCGTATGAGGAGGCCGCAAAACGCGAATGATTATAGCCAACCAAAAATGAAGCCTGGTATAGAAAGCGGTCTTGGAAGGTGATTGAACAGCCCAAGTCATTGCAGAGGCACTATGGTTCACAGAATAAAACATCTCACCTGAATAGTTAAAGGAACTTTTTTCGGACGCCGCCGATAGAATATGAAAAACTCATTCCATACTGGATTGCCGGTATAATAGCGGACGCTAGTTTGCGAGGTTCCGTCCTCGGAAATAAGCCGACAATATGGAGAAGGAGGATTCTTTCCATCGGGCCACAACAAATTCACCGCACTGTGTATGTGCACTCGAACGGCCTCCTTAAAGGTCCCAAAGAAGAAATCCAAGGCACCATTAGTTGGTGGAATGTGGAGGGTGAGTTCTCTGAGGGTAAAAAAGGCGGAAAAGTTGACGTTTGGACAAAGAAAGGTCGAATGTCCTTGTGAACAGATGGGTTATAGACAGATCACATAAGAAAGGTAGCTGTGTGATTCCCAGTCTGAGCACAGAGAACAAGCAATGCAGTTCACAAAAACCCATACTGTAAAAGAACACGTGATAGCGCGGCACTGTACTAAAAGATAACAGTGAGTTGCACTACAAGGACATGATGTCCTCAAAGGCGTGAATCGATTGGCCTGAGTAAAAGTAACCGATGGGAGGAAAAGCTAGTGAGAAGAGAAACATACTTGTGATAAGAAGCGCCGCCCAGGCCTTTAAGCACATAGTCAGAAAAGTACTAGTAGAAGCTGCTATACAAGAATGTGTGTAGTGCGAATGGACCAGTATTGATAAGTGAAAAAAATTGTGCTGGCGTAAAACTTAATAGGACTAAGTAGTGAATAAGTGCACTGTATTACGCTGGTGCGTGCTGGTGGTTCCACTATACCATTCATAGCTCATTGTCGCCAAGTCTATGTAAGCACGATCAATTGAAAAACATCGAGCAGCCAGTGAGGGCTCAGATTGCCTAGGTTAAGTGGGTAGGAGAGTTTCTCTCAGTTAAATTCAAAAAGGATGCCACCCTTAACCTACTGAAGAAAAGACAAAACCGCAATGGCCAAAGCCACTGTTTCCGCAGCGTTGGTGGCACAATGTAACTAGACTGTGAATATATATATATATATATATATATATATATATATATATATATATATATATATATATATATATATATATATATACTGTCAAAACGGGTAGCGGAACACTGACAAAGTTTTCTACTCCGTGCCAAAACGTTATCCTAAAGCACTCGGAGAGCGTGTCTTGAGGATCACTGGAGCAATTGCAAGCAGATTGATCCAGCCTGAATAGTGCAAACCGAAGGCTCTCGTACAAGTCCTCATTTTGTCTTGGCCCTGCTGTAGTTCCCCTATGTCGGATATTCGTCGCGTACCGTCGGCTGCGAAACTTGCCCCCAGTGAAATGACTTAAGTATCGATTAAGTTTGCCGGTCTCATTCAAACGCCTGTGAATTAGCAGCCTTGAACCCAGATTTCAGTAGCATACTGTGTTGCGTGATGGTTTCTCATAGTTGTAATAGCCTGATGAGAATTATTGTAAGGTGGTGATATCTTGGCTAGCTGGACTTCTTAATAGCAGAAGTGTTGGTGACTGCTGAAATGCACTAAAAAGAGGAATGGATGAGATGGAACAGGTGTCGTTTCGCGATCAGCTGAACAGGATGGAGTGTAGAACCGCCATGGTTTTGTGACTATGGGATTGTGCAAACGGAGTATTACTGGAATTAGTTGTTGAAATAACGTGAAAATCTATTGCTGTAGGATGGGGATGACGGGAGTGATGGAATACAAAGTGTTGCGGTGACCGGATCATTTGACTACCGTTATGTGCGAGTATATTTCTAAGTGAAGCTGTGCTATGACAAACGACAAGAGAGCAACATGTTAAATTGCATACAAGTGCAGATCCACGTACTTGCTCATTGTTCGCTTCGGTAAATACAGTCGCAGCAGATAAGCGGCCGACGAGAGTGGTTCTTCCAAAAATGGGATCAGAACATATCGACCCGGATTGAGGAAGCGAGAAATGAGTACTGTTCGGAACGGTCTGGCTGCCTCAACGTAGATGATTTGGGTGAACCCCAGCTGATGGATCCTGGTTATTCTGTTCGATTCCACCTGTATGAAAGAGGTCCAAAGAGAAGAAAAAGATGATAAGAAATTTTTCCAGTCTGTCATTGGCCACTGAGGAGAAACGAAGGTGAGTACCGGTCCGATATTCGGAAGTGCTAGGTGTGACCAGCGTGACAACACTCGGGCGTGGGCTCCCACTAGAGGACATTTCCCAAAATGCCCAGTTAAAGCTAAATCATTTAAATGTCTGCGGAATAAAAGGTCGAGGCAAACTGAAGTCAACAAGTACTTAACATTAAGTGAATAAAAGTGGGGATTCTAGAAGTAGAAGATCGGCTGGGGTGCTCAGCGGATGATTCCCACTCAAATCGAGCTACAGGATTGCGATTGATACAGGCCGCCCAAATACGAACGAACGTGATGGTAAAACACAGCAGTGGTGAGAAATCTGCTAGGGGCACAGATAAGACGAAAAATAACTAGGATAAGAGAGATGGGAAAATAAGGGGCAATGACTCACAAACCGTGGATTTTAGAATTTTCAACGAAGTCAAATCTGATCCAAAGTCGCGGAAAAACACAGTAGTGGGTTAAATCTGAAGGCAGACCCACTTGAAATAAGCCCAGGCCCACCGCAGGTGGGTTCTGAGTAGGCTCGATGGCCATAGTGAGGGGATCACGATTATGTTTGCGAACCAGAGTAAGCAGCACCTCTTCGGAGTCCGACGCGACATCGAACACGTACTGTATAAACGAGAAAGGCATGTAATTTTGCAAATAGAATAAGCCGCTTCAAAGACACGTATGATTTGGCTATATGCATTCCAGAAGTGTTGAGGGGAATCGTCAATGTCGATACACATGAGCTTATGGATGACCGATGAAAAATCCGAGCACATCAAACTGAGAGCCAAGAAAGTAGGCGTAATGCAAGTTGATTCCAAGATGAAATATTGACATACGAAGCGAGTCAACTGGTTAAGGTCGGTATTCATTCCGTGCTCGACAAGTCGCATTGAGCGCGTGACTGTAATATGTATAAAACCACCACCTTAAAATCGATGAAGGAAAATATAAGCCATAGTTAGTTGAGCAAAGAAGACATTTGTTCCATGTGGACAGTAAGATACTCTGAAGTGTTCAGTTTCTGCAGAACAGATTGAAGAGGTCGAAGAGTAGACTAGAGATAAGAGTGGAGCTAGCTAATGAAAGATAACAAATGCTTCGCCGAGTTCGTACATTCAGATCGAGCAAACACTGCATTACCTGTTTGAGGAATATACATGTTGCTGACCGGCAGCACTTCTTTTAATGACAATATACTGATCAGTGGTTAGATGCAGCGTCTTAAGCGGATGACGGATAATGAGCAAAACGTGTGGCACACATTTATGTACATGTCATGAGAGGAATAGCGTCAAACAACAAAGGGTCAACAGCAGCTCCTGGTAGTTTAGCTGCAAAACTACGGAAGCAGTGGTACCACTTGTCACATAAGCGAGGCTGTTTTTACAAATGGCACCCAATTCCCAACCATAGAAAGGATATCCCAGAATGATTCCTACATGGAGTCTGCCCTTTTGACATTCTTCTCTCCATCTGTTCTGTGTGGGAGTGGATACCACATCAAATACCTGACAGCAAACAACGGAGTAACAAGCCCGCTTTGCTACGTAGATCGAGCGCGGTGATGCAACGAAGTGTGCACACTGCGGGTGGTGTTCCACCAGTCTGCCACATAAATGGGAGATATGGAAGTGCTTTTTATATAACCTCTGGTGTACAAACGCATTTAATTGCTCTGTGGAATGTAACCAAAAGTTTACTGCACAAAGTTTCCCTCTTAGTGATTAGATATCGTATATAAGGGTTTAATTTCTGTCTCGTCGTAATTTATATATATATATATATATGCTATTAGAAAGCAGGTGATATGTTTATAAGCCAATGTACAACCATACGTCAACATATCTTTGGTCTAAACAGCCGACAACTCGTAAAAAGTTTTTCACTTACCATTTGCACCTAATGAAGATGCGCACTTTAGTCCTCATCTCTCTGTCATCTCTCAGGCAGTAATTTCATTTACTAACAAATTTTTCTTATAGAAAAATATCCTATGTTTCATTGATATGCAAGAGGATATAGTATATTTTCAACGGCATACTTACTTGATTTATTTGGTTAACCGCAATTAGATTGCAAGCCACAAAGGTCGATTAACAATCCAGAAAACCACCAGAGGATCGTTTCGCCCTATCGGGGCTAGTTGGTGGTGCGCATGCCCTCGATTCCATTCCGGGGATCGAACCAATAACCGCCAGTAGCTTTCATCACTGGCCAGTTGCGTATGCCACTAACCCATGGGGGACGTTAGCCCAGCACCATGAACTGAAATATAACTGTTTACATATTTGAACTTCCGCGCGGCAGACTAGTGGAACGCAACGCAAACGAGGTGGGCACACCCGATGGCATCGTGCGATAGCATGTGACCCGGAAGTAGCAGGTCTTCGACCGTACGCTCTGCTGGCCAGAAATTTGACTGGGAGACATGATCTATGCCCATATGGAGATGAGGAACAAACATACCGAGAAGTCAGCATTGTATCAGAGAGATCAATTTGTCCAGTCGTTTGGAACTGCCACCACATTGTTTCCCTACAACTCTTTATTATGGACAGCCCATTTCCCTTTGAATGTACCAGAACCCCGGCTGCTTGTTTTACCTACCCCTTGAACATTGATAAACCATTCGACCTTGCTCCTCTAGCTCACCGTCTATGGTCACTCAAACCACATTTCGCTTTTACACCCTTCATCATTTGATGTGCTAGTTACCGATGTCCCATCGCAGACGCCGCAGGCATCCTCACCATATCCTGCGCATTACAGACACTCCGCCAATCAGTTGTTCCGAACAAGTCTATCTTCAAAGCCAATCGATCTTCCAAGCTATGCTATTGGTGTATTTGCCCTGTCAGTCATTGACACATCAAGCGACTTTGACTGCTTGGCATATGCCCATACGTGTAGGCAATCAATTGGTGTATTGGTTTGCCTCGAAGCGGTGCTGCTCGGTTAGGCCTTCGCGCACTTGTTTGCATTTTGTGCTTATCTTTGCTTGGCGTTTGGATCGGTTTTCCGTGGTATCTACTGAAGTTTCTATTGCTTTCTTGTATAAGGAAACCGTTTGAGGTTCGTCACTTTTGGGATTTGTTGTTATTATTCAATAGCGCCTCAGTTACACCGGCGTTGAATTACGGCTCATCTCGGGGATAATTGATCCGTCCAGTTGTTGAACTCGAACAACCGGTAACTGTGTGTTACGCTCAAGGTTTCGAAGCGTTTTTCCGATTACAAGCGTATCGTATATTGAAGCCTGCGTTATGTGAATTAACTGCGAGACGAAATCGCCCTCTGTAAGTCATCATTAATCTAACCTCCATAAGATGACCATGGGAAGGTTTACTGTGCAATGGTCGCCGAACGGTCGTTTGTTCAAATAATAATGTGTACATAGCGGGATTTTGCAATGTGTGGAAATATCCTGACCTACAATCACTGCACTTTACGGCGTCGCAGACGTTTGACGATACAGCTTTGTATGTTCGCGTGCATTTCTGTCCTGCCCCACAGTGTTTACGAGAACTGATGTCTACCTTGCACAAGGTGTCTCCAAAGATCCCCTTCCCCAAACTGACTTTGACCGTTTGAGTGAAATCGTTCGTCACACAAGCATGCATCAAGCCTACCACCCATTGGAACATGTGCCCAGTCATTGCACAGGTCGCAACGCCTTTGATAATCATTTACCATTCTCCCTATTACTCAACAACGGAACACGCTCGGTCGCCTCTAGCCCTTTCCAGCATAAAACGAACTTGCCGAGACTCAAAGTTATCCCCAACTTTCGAGTTCCCTGTACCCACAAAATTTACCACTATTTCCTAGACCTATATATTTTATATCCATTAGTTTGCTAGCGTCCAATAGTACCGGCTCATGTCTGCGCTTGCCGCCATTATCACTCTTAGCGTACACCATCACCACTTGTTAAGCATTTTCTAACAACAGACTATCCACGTATACACTTAGTATGAGGTTAGTATAACAACTCTTTTATTACCACCCCTTTATATTCCCCTCTTATTGTCAATGGTGATCTCCACAACATTGCCGCAGTGACTACTGTGGAACGTTTCTTCCATCTACACCATGAGAACACCAGTCTGCCTATTTCCTCGTTACTAGGTATCTCCTGAATTCTTATTAGGTTGCTACATTTTGGCCGGGTAAGGACGAGTGACGTCAGCTACTGCATCAACTCTTCTCCATAGATTTGTGCCTCTCTAACAAACCGTATAATATTTTGTGCAATTTTACTCTTGAACCTGTTGCATTTTCTACCTGTTTCCGAAATATTTCTGTTCCTTTCCCATCCCCCTACTCTAGATCTCTTAAACTAGCAATCCTTCATCATTTGAACTGAGCTCACCCGCCACCCTCCTCGTCAAACAAGCAATGGACCACGAGCTTGCAACTACATCGCCGCCTCGATTACACCCTACGGCAGCAAACCGCCCGGAGTCCTATACCGGCCAAACTTGCAAAGCCCACTTTTCTACTGCTGCTGGTCTTACTCGACATAGTGGTTTCCACGATACAAGTCTTCGAGATGAGCACTCATCCACATAACTACTATGTGATCGTCGTTTTCGTCCGCACGCACTTTTACACATCACTTTTACCCCTGTATACAAACTTCGGACGACAAAGTTCTGAAGACTTCACAAACAACAACCACATCAATCTACTGAACTGTCGACGAAGGCTATCTACTCCTACGACAAGCCACCAATCTGAGCTCTTCCAAGGCATTTCTGTATCAAATTCACTCAAAACTATAAACCTACATGCCCACTCGTACGGTCGCAGCCATCAGGAAGAGGCTCCAACACCTGAAATGGGAGAGCCCAAAAGGCGGCCGTCACCATCCGCGATCCGAATGTTCGCCTACTACTGACATCCAGCCCAACACTATCTAGTTAGTGGTAAATAAACAGCCACCTGAATCACTGCTTTTTAACACTCTACGGAGTGTTTTATGACTCGGGTAGTAGCGGCCAAACGGAACAACCAACCTATTTAATGTGCCTATTCTACTGCAGTCGCACCGCGCCCCAAACATTTACAGAAGCTAGACCGATAGATGACAGTACACATAGCAATGCCTCGGTTACAACCACTATTACACTGACTAACCCTGACCAGAATTCGCCGAACAAAGAGGAACCGCTCCCGGAATATAGCTCCCTACATATGGTTGGCGGCATCCGGTTTCGGATTTGCCTGTCACTGTGGCCAGCCACAGGACGCCTGCGCCTACAGAGCGACCATGGGTGGCTTGCGCTGCACCACCCACAGCTCCATCCACACACCCCATATCTAGTGTAAACCCGAAGGAATAAGACCGGGAGGCATGTGGATGGGAGCCACGTTTCATCAACCGAGCCGGCCCACACTCCTTCACAGGCAAACACAAGCACGCTGTATTTGGGAAACAAGCGCACACAAGGCAGTGGCTGCTCCGTAGTCCGCTCCACACTGAGTACATGAGACCAGTCTTCGAGCCTAGCAAGGCCACAAGGACAGTGCATCCCATCCCCTCCAGCAACGACCAACTGTCTCCAGGAGCTAGTATGCACGAGGAAGTGGGTAGTAGACAGGTAGGCACCTTGTCA